GTTGAGTGGAACACACATTTGAAATTTCATCATGTTGAATTGTCCTCAAAAGTAGCTGTTCTACAGCCTAAATGTCTATCAGTGGATAAATGGATAAAGGATTTTTTTTTGAAACAATGGAGTACTACTGTGCCATAAAAAGGATAAACTTGAGACATTTCTAGGTAAGTGGATGTACCTTGAGACCATATTGGAAAGTGAAATAAAAATGTTTAACTATCACATTGTTTCTCTGGTGTGAGAAACTGAAAGGGTAAATAAGGACCAAAATGTATAATAGATATTGGGAAATAGGAATAAAATGTTCAAATGGAAACGAAGTAAGGGAGGGAAGGAGAAAGAAAGGGAAGAGAAGAATAGCAGGAAAAAATCAAAACAGCTTTTGTAAATGAGGAGGGGAAAAAGGGCTGAATGGAGGCGAGGGGATTGGGGAAAAAAGAATCAAGATATATTATGTACAGTTACAAATTTCCTATTATGATTGTGATTATTATGTACATCTAAAGTGCACCAATAAAATTTTTTAATGTATTTAGTACAGGATCTACAGGGTCTCACTACACAGATCAGACTCGTAGTGATTCATCTTTGTTGTTCTTTGGTCTTTTTTTTTTTTTTTTTGGCGGAACCGGGGATTGAACTCAGGCCCGGCAAGCACTTATTTTACTGAGCCATCTCCCCCGCCCCCTTAAAATCTTTTTAAAAGTAGTTGTTTTAGTTTTATACTGCCACCTGCCATCTCTGAGTTTCATTCCAAGATTTCCTTCTTCTACTGAAATGATCAGACCTTAACGTTTTACTTTCTTCAGTAGTCCTACGAAAACCAGAGCTGAAAGAGTTGGCATGGCAGTGGCTGAGTTCGAAGAATTCAGTTTAGGTGTCCTATTGCCGTTCCTTGATTTCCACTAAAATCACGGCGGAGCCTTAGTATCCGATTCAGCGCACACGTATGCTAAATTAACGCTTAGCAGCCGCTGCATCAAGTCTCTAGCAGTTGGTACGTCCCGGCAACGGCTCCCTCCCAGGGATGAAATTGGTTCCGTCCTGCGACTGCGCCCTTCGCGTCTCCTAGCGGTGCCTGGGCCTCGCGAGCCTTGTAAGTCCCCCCTCCCCCCGCCCCCGCCCGCGCAACGGTCGCTGTCGCCGTCCAGCGTCGGGGGGAGGGGCTTTGCAGAGCTGCGCGCGCCGCCGGCCGGTACCTGACGCCTCGCGCCCGTCATCCTTTTAACGCCTTCTCGCCTTCCGCGGGGCCGCGGCAGGCTTTTCACTCCGGGGCGGTCTCCCGATACCGAGGTAGGCCTCCCCATACGCCGGGTAGGGTTCTGTGGACGCCGGTGTTGGCCTCTCACGAGTCCCGTGTGGGTCCCACGGGCTCCTGCCGCCTCTGAGGTGGCTTCCTGGGACGCCGCGGTGGGCTTCCCGCTCGGGTGGAACCGGAGGCGGCGCCAAGTCCCGCTCGCCCCGAGAGTTGTGGTGCCCCTTTCCCCACGCTGAAAGCCACACACGCCGAGTGCTTGGGGACCTCGCCCAGAGTGAGAGTGACCAGGCCGACGGCTCCTCGCGCCCCCTTTTACTGTTTGGTTACTTTTGCTTGACAGGTGAAATTTGTTTTCACGGGGCGCGCGCGTGCGGGTAGGGGGGCGCCTTATCACTTAATGCCTCCAGAAGAACCGGTACGTTTCTCCTGTGTACTGAGACAGGCATCAGTTTCAGCCTTTTGCACATACATCTTCACTTAATCCTCACCACAGCCCCGGAGAAAAGACTTGACATCTGTCAGTGATGGAGTTGAGTATACAGTGGTCCCTCACTTATCGCGAAGGTTCCGTTCCAGCCACCCCCGCGATAAGTGAAAATCAGCGAAGTAGAGACGTTATATTTTAGTATTTACATATATTTTGAGGCTTTATAAACACTTATCACACTTTTATAAAAAATTTTCCACGCTTGTAAAAACACTTCTAATGTTCTTAACCATTTTCTAAACTCTTAAGCCTACGTAATTTTAACAACATATGTATACTGTATGGTACTGCCACATCCCATGATATAGCGAAAAATCTGCGATAAAAAATTTAGATTAATAGTTTTTTGAAAACCCGCGAAACAGTGAGCCCACGAAACTCGAACCGCGAAATAGTGAGGGAGTACTGTAAATCCAGGCAGATTTCATTGTTCTTGCAGTTAGTCAGTATTCCTGAGATATAAGTAACATGAGAAAAAAATGAAAAGTTATGCTTTTACCTTTATTTTTTCCATCATGGAAGGCAGTGCTTTGCACTTGAATCAAAAGAAAGTCTGGTTTTGAATTTAGATGCATTAAGTTTAATTTACCAGCATAGTCATTTACTACTTTAGGAACTGTTTAATAATATATTAAGTATTGATGAAGATATCTACTTAGTATTATTGGAAGGAATAACATGATGCATATGTACCTAGACAGTGTCCAAGGAGTCAACAAATAACTAGTAATGCTCATGTTGCTACACATTTATCCTGAACTGAAGCCAAGTATGGATGGAAAAACAGGGGTTTGTGTGTGTGTGTGTGTGTGTGTGTGTGTGTGTGTGTGTATGTATAAGTATATAGGTAGTACATATAAGGTTTGCATTTACCTTTTTCTTAGTCACAGAAGCATTTAGACTCATTGTAATCAGTTGCTAAAGAAACTTGTACCACATTTCTTAAATACTGGCTTGTTTAGGGATAACAGTCAATGATTCATAAAGTCTCATTCATAAAGTCTCTATCACCCAAAGGTTTCAAAGCTGTTTTGATAGGTTGGGTATGTAGAATGTTAAGATTTAAAATTATCCTGTCAGTGATTCAGTGATTATTTGGATAGATCAAGGTGATAAAGATGCTGAAAAAAAATGACAAGGGACTGGGGATGTGTCTTAGGGTAGAGCTCCTGCCTTGCAAGAATAAGGCCCTGGATTTGATCTCCAGCACCAAAAAAAAAAAGAGAGAGAGAAAAAGAAAGAAAGAAAATGACAGTACTCGAAACTAGGGATTTTTCAAAGACAACATCAAAAATGCTACCTATGAAATAAATTCTGTTCTCATTGGGTTGCTTTTGTTTCTACATTCTTCTGGAGATATGGCCTTTCTCACTATCACACATTGATTACTTTTTTTTTAAACACATGATTACTCTTGGTATCTAGACTCAGTTCCTCTTTTCACAGGTAGTGTAATTTATTCTTTAATTCAAGTAAGTGAAGATAAGCCATTATTATTATTTAGTTCTTCATCTTCAGTGGTATCAATTTAAAAAACAAAACAGCTGTGCATGGTGGTACACGCCTGTAATCCTAGCACTTAAGAGGTGGAGATATGAGGGTCACCATGAGTTTGAGGCCAGCCTGGGAATACATAATTAAAGGCCTGCCTGAACTATGTAGTACCCTATCTCAAACAAAAAGATGCAATAGTAGTTTGAGGATATGCAGGCTGGCTTGTTTAAATTAATTAATCCCCCTCATCTGCTATGATTCTTTGAAAACCTATATTAACTCTGCAGTGGTTTTGTGTCAGGGAGAAAGGCATTTGTTTATATACTTTTAAAGAAGTTATGTGTATTTGGTGGTATAGCTACTCTTGTTATCAACTTCGAGCATATCAGTTAAAGTAACTCAAAGCAAGTCAGACATGGTAGCATGTATATAATCCCAGCATTCAGGAGTCCGAGGCAAGAGAATTATCGTGAGTTTGAGGTCAAACTGGGCTACATAACTCAAGGCCAGTTTGAATTATGTATTGAGATCCTGTTTCAAAAAATCCAAACCAACCAACAAAAAAAATCTTAAGGGTACAGGAAATATTTAATAAGTTGGAAACACTTCATATAAGCAATTTTCCTCAGGCATTATGATTCCTCTAGTTTTCTATATTCCGTACTTCTGTTTCCTACTTAGGCTTTTAGGTTTAAGAATAATTGTACATTTTATGTCTTCCATTTAAGTTTCTTCAGCTCTCCCCTTCTGTACCTTTAATTTTATACTTATGCTCTTAATATGGCATTTATTTAGGTTCTGGGGGTGGAACTGAGGGCACTTATTTTGCATTTGCTAAATATGCACTCTACCACAGAATTCTATCCCAGTTCCTTTATATGGCATTGAGTGAATTTGAAAAACTTTTTTTTTTTTTTTTT